CGCTTCCAAAGAGCCCTTACAGCATGATAGCCGTGAAAAAAGATGTAGAAAATAAAGTTAAACACAGAGGGTTAGCAAGAAATATCTAAAATTATAAGTTGACGTGCGGTGCAAATCCTCGACGTGATATTTTATTTGTAATTTATTCAGCGTCGAAGCTCGTGCAACCTGTAACTATGAATTTGTCAGAATGTGTAAGGATACTATCATCATCATTATCAGGTACCTTGCCGACTGGCGTGGGCGATCATGTATCTCCATAATCTGCGATCTCCTGCAGCATGTATCAGTTCGTATGGAGACACACCTCCATGCCATGCAACAAGACTGTCAAGCATCTTCTCTCGTTGTCTTTCTCTATCTCTCCTTCCACATATGTTTCCAGTGGTCACGACATGTTCTATTTTCCCTCTTCTCATAACATGGCCGAAAAATGATGACTGTCTCCTTCTGGTTATGATCTGATGAAACTTGCTGCTAAAGAGAATTGCACAGAATCTTGAATGCAGCACATAATTACCTGTCGCAACTGAAGTTAGAGCCAGATGGAACAAGCGTTAGTTTGACTATGAAGAAATTGCTGCTGCATCCTTAACAAATGAGAAAACATAAAAAATAAGCTTCTTTATTTATCAAATACATTCTGGACGTTACCCTTTATTCTCCTAATGGAGATTCACGCTTCTAAAACAAAACAAGAAGACCCCCCCAAAATATTCAGTTTTTAGAATGATATTTTAAAACTGATGACAAAACTCTAGAAAGTTATCACCAGTCTTCACTTACTACTTTCGGTCAAAAATAAATCACATATAAACGGAAATGATGTTCAAGGAGAATTACGGGCTGTATCCGGAATGTTACCTGTTCTATAAATGCTTTGCACGCTTTGAATTTTTGTGCCAGAATAACTTCATTACTTTGTATCTGAATACTTTCATAACTCTTGGGATTTTGTGAACACTGCCTGTCTCTGCAGATAGTTGGGAAAGACGTTTTCAAACTGAAATTAATGAAAAAAAAATGAAAAACTAAGAAGTTCGATAAGCCAAACAAAACTTAGAAATCTCTCATTTATTTCTATTGAATCTGCATTGGATCCTACTCTAGACACATTCTTACTTAATGAATTTGCTAAAGTTAAAATAAGAAGGGTAAAACTGCAGTACATTGTTATAGTTGATATCATTTTTTAAAGCAAAATTCTAAATATTCAAACAGTTAGCTCAGTTTAAAAAGAAATCACAGTTGAAGGTTATTAAAAAGAAAAAAAAAATATTTTCAGGTTGGCATTTTGAAGACCTACATCATACTGAAAAAATATACAACTGATAACATATTTTTTAGGTCAATTAACTTGGCTGAGTGATGTGAAAGTAGTTCATTTGACATATCTGTTATATATACTTTGCGTAGTATGTGTGTTTCTTTTGTTTATTTGTTAGTGTGTGTTCCTGTCTGTTTGATGCTATGTTGAGCCATATACGCTTTCAATGTTCTGGTTTAAAAAGGTAACAAGTAAGGTGTTATGCAATTACTTGATCCACAAAGAGATTTCAGTCACCGTGTCGGCTAGTGTGCCCTAGGCGTTGCGAATACGTTTTTCAATATTCAGACACCCCGTTGGGTTCGGCAGCAGAACGCTTTACATTGTTTTTGACAATAGGATCGTGAGTGGATCACTTAGTCAGCAGTCGCAAAATTAGTGAAACCAAACAACTGACATATGCTAGGGTTGGTTCTGCAACGTCCTGTTAAGGATACGCAATTAACGGGGTTTGTTTCCTTCTCAAGTCAGGCCTGTAACAGTTTTAAATGTGATTCTTGGACAGTTCTTAAACACAAAATCCCATTAAGACTTCAGTGATTCGAATCAACACAAGACATGTGTCAATCCCTCGGATGGCCAAATTAAGCAATAGAGTTTTTCAGTGACACTAAGATATCAAGACACGTAACACAATCAGCAGAAAGAGACTGTAGTCATTTTGTAAAATGCACTATATAGTATTTCAAATACATTTACAAATATAATTGTTATACATGATATAATAGTAAACTATTACATTATAATTGCGTAATTAAACAGGGCTTTATAAAGGGGCTGAGAGTCACCTCCTAACGTTTTCTTTGTGTCGGCGCTACGCGACACATGGACCCCTAGGTTTTACTCAGGCAATACAGATTTACAGCGACATAGTCTTTTCGTAAGCTCTCATACTGGCAGTGGGCCACATAACGAAATGCTATGTTAAAGAATTCGGTAGACACTGTACACACGGGGAGCCCGCACGCAAGTGAGATTCCACCCATTAGTCCACACATACACAGACGCATAAGCCCTCGTGCACACGCCACCTCCACACACAAATACACACACACACAACATTTCGACTTTTAAAATTTGTGAGACAAGTAAAGGTTCTTTCTTTGGGGTAGGAATCTATTCTGAAACACAATATATGATGTGAAGTGACAAACTCCTTCTCGTCTGCAGCAATCCCTGGAGCCATACTGCTCAAAAGAAACAACCCTCCCTTTCCTTTGGATTCCAGCTGGACTATTGACTTATCAGATCGGAACACAGACCAGTACGCCTAGCGACTTCGAAAACATGCACCAGACTGTCATAACAGATGTGCTGCCACTGTTCCACCAACATGGGTGTGCCATGAATTAGGGCTGTACCGAATATTCGCTTCGTATTCGCTTCGGGACCGAATAGTGGACCTATTGACTATTCAGTATTCTGCTGAATATTTGCGGTCGGGCCGAATACGAATAGTAGTTACCTTACACAGGCTTCTGTATACACGGCTTTAATACTGACAACATGGAACGATTGGTTTTGTTGAAAGCTGATGCAGCTTTTTTGCGTTAACTAAGCTGGCAGTGACAATTTCCAAGTACAGAAAAGTAAAAACTGTATACATCTGAAAGAGGAATGGGCGTAGACCACAAGACAGACAAAAAAGAAGTTCGAGAGATAATGTCCAGCCAAACCTGCAAACAACTGGTGTCACAAATTGTGAAGAGGAGGCTAGCCAGAGAAATGAATGGAGACGAGTGATATCTGAAGCAGTGAACCTCAAGGGCTCAGAATGCTAAAGAAGAAGATATTCTGTGCTACTTTAAGTGAAGTAAAAGTTCAGCGTACATTTGACATTATGAATGTTTTTTAATTTTTTTTTTTACATATATTTTATACACTACACACTATTCGTATTCGTATTCGGCCGAATAGTTGGTCCCGTTATTCGTATTCGGCCGAATAGTTAAAATCTCTATTCGGTACAGCCCTACCATGAATCTCCTGCATTCGATTGCAGTGTGGTGCAGCATAATGTCTTTTATTCTGAACCAACAAAAATCTTAACTTTTTAAAGTTTATTTTAAAAAAATTTTTTTTTTTTAATTAAAAACTGTTTACGGTGCCAGTGTCACGATCCTCTGCCATAACCATACAGAGACATTTCTTGTTCGTCCAGACATTTACAAATACATTATTATAATTTATGATAGCGTTTACTTGAAACCGCCACCCGTGGTGTAGCGGCTAGACGCTCGCCTGCGTATCCAAAGATCGAAGGTTCAAGTTTCTGACGGAGCAGGTCTTTTCAACACAACCTTGAAATAGTACCAGGTAAAATCCGGGAAGTAAAAGTTGCCGGCATGATGACGATTGGTCTATAAAACATAGGTCTCCTATTATATGCCCAATACGCATGAAGATGTGGCAAATGGTCCTTTAGTAAAAGCAGTGATATCAACAATATAACATATTTATACATTTATTAGTTCAAAAGTCAGTACAAATAATAACATTCAAAAGCTGTGAAGATTGAAACAGTAGCGGATCTTGGCTCAGTCAAAAGCGTGCTAACCTAACTCTACAATATGTTTAAATATCAAGTTTGCTGAAACAAAATAATGTCATATGTGAAATATTTCTTTATTTCTAAAAAAATGTTTATGTGATAGTGAACTGGTTTTCCCCTCTATTCTCTGTGTGTGCCATCGAAAATTGACTCCAGTCCTTCGATTGCCATGTGTGGAAAAGGTTACCCATGTATGACCTGGATAGTCATCGTTTGAAGCAAGATTGGTGCCATTTATTCTGAAGTAAGCTTATTAGAAAATAGATTTGATTGCTTTATGTTTTATTTGTCATGTCATTCTAATCTTTCTTTGAAGTTTCATATTTTGTATTTTAATATGAACATAACATGATTTATACAATTTGCGAAAGATACGTGTTAGGAGGGGCAGGATGTAAGACTGGCCAGCGTTAGTGACCCTTTTAACAGAAAATTCTTTCATTCCTATGCTTTCTATCGACATGTTTTCGCTCACTTGACTAGGAAGAGGCAGTAGACATATTTTATATTCAGCAGTCTACAGCCACAAGTTACTTGAGCGAGTAATGTGGTAGTCTTCCCTGGCTTTCCACATGCTCATGGCTTTAGACCATGTCGTAACTCTTGAGTATATACCTTAGGTATACAAATTCGCGAGGCGGCTGGCGAGGGACCCGAGTTTCTCTGAGGTGAACTGTGATGGTTGAAATGTTCTGTTAAGGACCTGCTATCTGACAATATCCAAGAGGAATAATCGGTTATATCAAAATAAAGGAGCAATACGCAATAAAAGTATAGGTATATTATGTTGTTTGTGAGAAATTATTGAGTTTTTAGATGTCTAAGTATGTGAGTAAGTAAAGATCCATTTTCACGCCTGTAGGCGCATCGGGCACATACGAAGAGCACCTATATTTTACAGATCATTCAGCACTGGGTAGGTCGTGTGGTCAGCATTACGCTATCCGTCTTTACTTCCTAAGGACATACATCCTAGTACCCATTTAAGACTGGGTCGACCTGCGACGCAAGATACCATGATACAAATCCACGCAGTGGGTTTCAATCGCGGTATGTTAGAATTACAAGTCGGACTCGCAACGCCTAAGCCACGAACGCCCCTTGTTTCAATATGTGGCTACTTTAAATTCTCTTGACCACCCTCACCTCGTACCCCAGTGGGCTGACAACAACGCCGGTCTTGTACGCTAATGGCGGGATACTACACGGATTTGGCGGAAGGAACTGAAATCTCTGGAACATGTTGGAGAGAAACAGAAACAGTTCCATCATGGCCAAACTCTCGCCCAGACAAGCACGAGGTCCAATACCGAACTGGATAAACTGTTCAGGGTTCTTCAACTTGCCGTCGTTGTCGATGAATCGTTCAGGTCTGAAGCTCATGGCGTCCTCTCCCCAGGTGTCTTTGTCATGGAGGACAGAGTCCAGGTTGGGAAGGATCATGGTTCCTTTAGGTATGGTGAAGCCTTTCAGAGTTACCTCCTCAGAACACTGGTGAGGCAAAGCTACCGGAGCAATACTAGCTAGCCGTTGAGTTTCCATAATGACAGCGTTAAGATAGGTCAGCTGACTCTTGTCATGTATCGTTGGGGTTCGAAATGTTCCCACTTTATTTTTAATCTCATCGTAAACCTTATCTTGGACTTTCTGGTGATTTAAAATGTAGAGTATGCACCAATAGATAGTAGTACTGGTGGTTTCAGTTCCAGCCCCAAATAGATCGCACATGGTCTTTACTAAATTCTGGTCGTCAAGAGACGTAGATATGCCAGATTGTATTTTCTGGTTTCTTTTATTAATATATGCATAAATAAAATTGCTCACATCGTTGGAATCACTGAAATGTTTTTTCTCGTTTAACACATCAGAGAACATATTAATTAAAGACACGTAACTAACTCTGAGCTTTTTAGCTTTGAACAAATCACCAGGTAGAAAATTCAGCCAGGGGAAAAAATTAATTAAACTAACAGCTTCTTGTTCCGAGACCAGATCTCTGGATTTGTGTATTAAATCCTGAAATGTTTTGTCCTCGTAGTCAAAGCGTTGGCCAAGCAGGATGGAACAGATTATGTTGGATATGCTGATGCTTGTAAAAACTTCGATATCTGTGCATTCTCCTTTCAGATCTGCCAGAACTTCCATGTAGCAATCTATCTCTTCTTGTATTTTTTCGGCCAAGACATTTTTCCCCATTCCGAAAGATCTAAGGATGGAGAGACTGACAGACCTTTGCTCTTTCCAAACTGCTCCATTGGAGAAAAGAATTCCCAACTTGGGTAAACCGGAAGCCTGTGGCGGAAAAATTATTTCTTATATAACTATGTAATCTGTAAGATTTTCACAAAGGAACCTAAACATTAGGACTGCAGAATTTATGGTCTGATTTAACCGTCTGGTGAAAGCTACAGTAACGTAGTTTTGTCAGATAAAGAAAAAAATTAATTACATGTTTAGTGACGATTGGTCTATAAAGTGCAGCCTAGCATCACATGCCAGTACTTGATTGGCGTAAAAATGTTCTTTTCTCTGCACTTTTACCGTCTGTTTTTTTTTTCTTCAAAAAAAAAAAAAAAAAAAAAAACTTTTTTTAATAAATTTTTTTTCTGGCACTGACACAAAGTTTATGTAAACATGTTATCTTTAAATCCTTTGGTTTTTCTGACACATGGCGAAGTAGTTACATAGAATAGCAAATGTTGGTCGAAGAACAACAAAGAAGAAGAAAAAGAACAAGAAACAGAAAAAGAAGAAGAAGATGATGAAGATGATGAAGAAGAAGAAGAAGAAGAAGAAGAAGAAGAAGAAGAAGAAGAAGAGAAGAAGAAGAAGAAGAAGAAGAAGAAGAAGAAGAAGAAGAAGAAGAAGAAGAAGAAGAAGAAGAAGAAGAAGAAGAAGAAGAAGAAGAAGAAGAAGAAGAAGAAGACGAAGAAGAAGAAGAAGAAGAAGAAGAAGAAGAAGAAGAAGAAGAAGAAGAAGAAGAAGAAGAAGAAGAAGAAGAAGAAGAAGAAGAAGAAGAAAAATAAGAAGAAGAAGAAGTATAAATAGTAAAAGATGAATAAGAAAAAAAAGTGTTGGTGCGGGTGGTGGTGGTAGTAGCAGCAGCAGCAGCAGCAACAGTAATAGTAGCAGCAGCAGTAGCAGCAGTAGTAGTAGCAACAGCATAGTAGCAGTAGCAGTAGTAATAGTAGTAGTCGTTGTCGTACTATTAGTAGTATAAGCAGCAGCAGTATTAGTAACAGTAGTAGTAGTAGTAGTAGTAGTTGTAGAAGTAGTAGCAGCCGTATTAGTTGTTGCAGCCGTAGTATAGTCGTCGTCGTCGTCGTCGTCGTAGTAGTAGTAGTAGTAGTAGTAGTAGTAGTAGTAGTAGTAGTAGTAGTAGTAGTAGTAGTAGTAGTAGTAGTAGTAGTAGTAGTAGCAGCAGCAGCTGTAGTAGTAGCAGCGGCCGTAGTAGTAGCAACAGCAGTAGTAGTAGAAACAGCTGTAGTAGTAGTCGTAGTCGTAATAGTAGTAGTAGCAGCAGCAGCAGTAGTAGCAACAGCAGCCGTAGTAGTGGTAGCAGCAGCGGTAGTATTAGAAGTAGTATAAGCAGTAGAAGTACTAGTCACAGCAACCTTAGTAGTAGTAGCAGCAGCAGCAGCAGTAGTAGTAGCAGCAGCCGTAGTAGTAGTAGTAGTAGCAGCAGTAGTAGTCGTCGTCGTAGTAGTAGTATTAGTAGCAGCGGCAGTAGTAGTAACAGCATAAGTAGTAACAGCAGCAGAAATAGTAGCAGCAGCAGCTGTAGTAGTAGTAGTCGTCGTCTCCGTAATAGTAGTAGTAGAAGTAGAAATGTATACAACAGATATTTCAACATTTACCATATCAACGAAAAGTGAGGGCCTGTCGGAGAAGATATCTGCTCTCGTGACGAGGGCTTCTTTGATCAAGTCGTAACCGTTAAGAACAACAACCAACGTGTTCCCCATGTACAAGCTAGAAAGAAGTGCCAAAAATATGACAATTAGCTCACTGTACGTTGAGTTAGTGGACATAGATAGCTAATATAGTGAACAGTGATACATACGTTAATAACGTGATGCCCGCTGACTACCTTATGACTAACATCAATAAATTAATTGAATTGAATTGCACTTGCTAATTTTTAGTGACAACATAATTATACATATAGTTCTGTAGTGATAGTTAGGAAGATTAGGTGAGGTTCTTTATGATCCGCATTAGTCATCCCCTCGTGGGATGAAAATTTTCGTTATTTTGAAGCCCTATACACAATCAGACATTTACTGGTGCCATCGGAATTTGAACTCTTTGATTGCTGCTGAAGATGGGGGGAGGAACGCCAGTGGGAGTGTCCCGAGTGTTATGATGTCGATTCTCCGTTCAACATTCAACATTCAGTGAAAGAGATTCATTGTTATGCTTAATTATGTTTTTGTTTGACTCAGTAGTAATTGCCTCTGACTGCAGATGATAACATCTTGAAAACCGTTTTTTTAACACACACACTGTCCCTTTATTTTTCAACGGAATTTCCACCAACATTGATGCACTTCTCCCATTGCTGTATCATTCCTCCCAAACCTGCTCCTTAGAACTGAGTGCTCTTTTTTCTAAACCTTATTTTCACTTCACATACAACTTCTGAGTTATTCGCGAAATGTCTCTCTTCAAAGTGGGTTTTCAGTGGATTAAAAAAGCGGAAATCGCAAGATGGATGTTCCAGTATTTCCAAACCTAACTTAACCGAGGGTTAAGTGAGCCGTATGAAGGCTGGCATTGTCATAAAGGACCAGTGCTCGTCTAGTCAGTAGGGCTGGACGTTTTCTTTGAGTTGCATCATGACACATCGATACAACTTTACAGTATGAATCAGCATCTACTTTGTCACCTCTTCTTGTGAATTTAGTTAAAAGCAAACCTTGACAATCCTAGAACACTGTCAACATAACCTTTACTGCTGATTGCGTAATATTGAATTTTCGAACACAAGGCGGAGAATGATGTATCCATTGCACTGAAGCAAGCTTTTGATTCGGACTGGCAGCGATGCATCCGTGATTTATCCCCAATAATAGTTCTGTTAAGCATGTCTTCTTCTTCATCTGCATATCGACAGAGATGCTGTATGGACAGGCCTAATCGGTTCATTTTGAGTTTATCCATCAATTGTCTGGATACGTAAATACCTTATACCCGGAACACCCAGCTCACACTTTGAGATCCAAATGTTCGGCGATGAGGGCTACTGTGGCATATGAAGTAACAAATTCAAATGATTTCTGGGGAATGGGGTTGGGGTTTGTCTTTATAGTGCATCCAGAAGAGGTAGGGAGGGTGAGGGGAAAGATGGGGGGGAAGCCATTCAGTCAGTACTCGTCGTTGCCGTCTTGCTGGTAATGGTAATGTGAGTTTTAGTTTCATAGCAAACGGGTCACCCCATAGGTTCTAGCGTGGCCTTAAGCCGGACTTACACGTATCACGTCACCAACCTTTGCTATCAGCCCACTGATTGGGGGTTGGAGATGGTAGTTAGGTGTTCTAGTTCCGTCAGTATCAACCCCCTTGTCTTCCCTATTCGCTGTCAGTCACATCCATTTGTAAACATGACATAATTTTGGGTATTAATCCCCGGAACATATGGAGGCACACAACTAAGTGTACATACACCCGAGCATTCATACACTCAGACGACACTACCTGTTTGCACTTCCTTTCATAATTATCATTGTATGCAAACCTATTTGTCATACGGTACTCAAGCATTCTCTTTCATATGTGTCTACCAATGTCTACATATACCCTCTAATATTCATGTAAACGCATTCATCCACCCTTAAGGACACTCAGACTTCCATATCTTGCGCGTTCTTTAATGTGTTGATATTGTCTGTAATATCGTCTGGTCGTGTCAATTATTTAGTTATGTTCAGTTGTATGTGACCTGTCCGTTACGTTCTTTTCTTGTTCTGGTGGATGGTGGGTGATGATGAGGTTCTTGCTGGCGTACACACTTCATTCCAATTATTCTAATTAATTAACAAGTTCGTGCGGTTTCACACGTATGTATACACTCGTTCCTCGTATCGTTCCATGTTCTGTCTTGCGAATGCGCATGCAACATATAGCGCCACCGAACACACATAGACATAAAGTTGGATGTTGCAAGGAGAAACGATTGTTTTGAATACCAATTATACATCAAAAAGACAAATAAAAGGTGGAAAGTAAACACATTGTGGGAAAGGTAGTGTTCACTGGTCGCTCAATGAGAAAGAAGACAATGGCCAACCAAGTGATGACAGGAAAATTCGTGGGTTGAAGAAGCAGGCGCAAAAGGTGAGTAATGATTTACTGAAAGATTTGCGAATAAAAAACTGAAAAAATGTGGAGTACCAAGAACGTATGTTTGTGGAGAGAAAAAGTTGACTACGAAAACATAATGATAAATACTTGCATAGGTTAGTTGCTTATCGTTTACAGGACGTTGCAGAATGAACCCCAACAGCCCCTGGCTGCTGTGTGGTATTTCTAGGCAAATTTACGTCTAGTAGTTTGCCATTGCTTACTGGACGGTCAGCTTTCTTGATACCACTGTCGAAACCAACGCAAGGCTCATGGCCCGCAGCTGGGATCGATCCTAGCATCCCGGCATTACGAAGCGTTCGCATCGACTTAGCCACAGTGCCGACTAAATACTTGCATTCATAAATTAAAACCGCCAGTAGCTACACAGTTATGTATCAAGCCAATCAATACAAGCGCTGCAACATGTTGCTCACAACCCTGACCTGTATATGTCCCCACAGCAATGTCGCCACGCTCTAAGCTGCGACCTGGTGTCTCGACTCATGGACAGGATATGGCCGACAATTGGTAGAGCTCGAACAGGGCTGGGTGGAAGCCGTGGGTCTGGTCGCTGCAGCCATATATAGATCGCCAGAATCACCACAACGGATACTATCCAAGTTGTTAGCTCCATTTATGATTCGGACGGATGATGTATTTGCTCAAAGCCCTGAAGTCAGAATAAAGGAGTCATCTAATGTATATATTTGCAATCTTAGTGACACGTCACAGATCGTAGAACAGAAGGAGATGAAGAAGGTGAGGGGGGGGGGGGGGAGAGGGGTGAGTATGAAATGTTTGGGTTTGAATACTAAACTATCGCCTGAGGATCCGAAAGTCGTGGGTTCAAATCCGAAAGGATCCCGGCTTGGCTCTGAGCCTTAAATGGGTGCCAGATCAAGTCCTGGGAAGTAAAGGTGACCTGCGTGACGTTGACAGCAGCACCAACCAAGTGCGAAGTTTTCTATAAAATGTCAAGTAATATATGCGAAATAGGTCTCAAGGCTTGGACAAGGGTGCTTTATATATGCTATAGGACATTTCAGTTTCAACTCTGAGGTAAAAGGCATTGCCATTTGGTCGTATGAGTCCTCAAAACAAGACTCTCATCTATTGGAGTTAACATAGTGTGGCAAATTTTCACCCAATCAGTTTTAAAAGTCATATTTATAGGCTGTTTTTGTCCGTTATTTGGCTCGTTTTCGATGCAGATTCTTTTCTATGTAATGATGCCAGATCGTCCTCACTGTTGTGCTCCTAACAATAAACATTAGTAAAAGAATATATCTTTTCCAGCAGCAGTCAGACAAAAATGAATCAAAAGATCTCAGCCACTGCTGTTCCAAACCTCGGACGAGAAAGGAAGAGGGCTGTGGAAACCTCCCTACACTGTTTAACATGTATTTGCTATAGAAACTTGCAGGAAAGGATGATATTCCGGTGAATGGGTGAGTCAGCTGGCGTATGGTGCACAGAGTGCATGTGTCATGATTACCGGTGAACCCTTTAAATTCAGAAAGAACCCTTCAACACGAAATGAACATGCCAATAGAAGTTGCAACAGCATAGAAAGCACTGTAACTTTTCTTTACAGTATAAAATTTCACTATACTTCTAATGTTCGTTTTTATTAAATAAAGGAGAACGCCCTACTGTAATTAAGATATCGTTTGTGAAAACACCAGAACTGTGGTCTATGCTTCCCATAAACTGAACTATTATTCCTGATTATTCCCCTGTTTGTGATAACTATTTTGCTTCCATCATCAAGCAGTTTTTGTTTCACTCAATCCTCTTTCTGTAAGTTTTAATCCATTGTGAACTGGAAAGTGCCACAGTTTGGTAAATTCATTAGCTTTCAAAGTAGTGAAGTAAAGCACCTTTTCTATAGTGCAAATGATGATAAACACACGACGACCAGCTTTGCTTCCTATGCCATTTCTTGGCTAAAATTTTAGGTTTGATTGACCTGTGAGACAAGATTTGTTTTCAAACCCGCCCTGTTCGGATTCGAACCCAAAACCTTCAGGCAGACAAGTTATCGTATAACCACACTACTCCGGCTCCCTTCTTAAGCTGTTGACACTTTATTATCTCTTACCTCTTGATAAGGCCAAACTAATTCACCGAATCCTATCCCAGAATGCTAGGAATACATTTGGCCACCGCTCAAATATACTTACAAAAATACACATACTTATCCGACGGCGTTTTACAACTTAAAGGAAACACGTCGCTGCTGTAGGGAACAAAATATAAAACATATGCACTTCTTTTTTGCTTTTTTCTTTTCATTCTTTATTTATTCCTTTTCAAACAGTAAGGCAATATTGGGTAAATATATATTTTTTTTCTAAGAGTGTATAATGAAGCTTTATCAAACGCCTAAATATATCCCATATCCCGATGATTATAGGGTGTTTCAAAACGCATGCCGTCACACGTTAAAATGTGTCTCGAAAACTCCTGGACGGATAAACACCAAATTGTGCACGCAGGCCTAGATTTCTTATGTCCTCATGAATCTATAATTTATAATAGCACTAATGCTGCTGTTTTCAAAAAGCGGCGAATTTCTTTGATTTTTGTTTGACTAATAGTTTGTATACCCTTAACAAATAAAATATGCAGTAACTGACACACGCGTGGGGATTATACATCAGTTCGCATGTGCAGCGATACGTTATGATTAGTTTGGTAGACTATTCTCCACTGAATTAGAAATCCACTTATGCTGGAGATAACCACCTGACGGTAATGGTCATGGCAGTGACCAAAGCTATAACATGGTTTGAGACACAGGCCATTTTTTATCGCGCATGCTTTCTCACTGACTTATGCTTAGGAAGACCGAGATGAGCTGGGTCTGAAAACAGTGGTTGGAGTCTCTAAAGCGTTCAGGGCTGACTTATATTAGTTTCATATTTGTGCCAGGGCACGCCGGCGTGAAAGGAAATGAGCAAGCTGATAGGCTTGCAGGTAAAGGGCTGTGAGGGCGGACGAGCCATGCACCTGTCAGATACTCTGAATGCTCTACGAGAGGTAAAACTTTTGCAAGAACCAAGTGGTGACTGTAAATCTGCAGCCATGACCAGATTGCAAAAACATGTTAAATGTTTGTGGCCAGCCAAGAGCACCACGCAGGACGCCACAGAATAAATAGAAACCAACACAGAACTGGTGTCATGATCCGCTACACACTGCAGGATATACTATTTAGGGAATCAGAGCACACGTGGAGTTAATGAATCAATGTGCAATGAAGAATGCTGAATGTTGAATGCTGAATTAGGAATCGACATCGCAGCACTCGGGACACCCCAAAAGGTTGAAATTATAATCTGTCGACTAACTAACTAACTAAGTAACTAACTAACTAACTAACTAACTAACTAACTAACTAACTAACTAACTAACTAACTAACTAACTAACTAACTAACTAACTAACTAACTAACTAACTAACTAACTAACTAACTAACTAACTAACTAACTAACTAACTAACTAACTAACTAACTAACTAACTAACTAACTAACTAACTAACTAACTAAGTAACTAACTAACTAACTAAGTAACTAACTAATTAAGTAACTAACTAACTAACTAACTAAGTAACTAACTAACTAACTAACTAACTAACTAACTAACTAACTAACTAACTAACTAACTAACTAACTAACTAAGTAACTAAGTAACTAAGTAACTAAGTAACTAACTAACTAACTAACTAACTAACTAACTAACTAACTAACTCACTAACTAACTAACTAACTAACTAACTAACTAACTAACTAGCTAACTAACTAACCAACCAACCAATCAACCAACTAACTAACTAACTAACTAACTAACTAACTAACTAACTAACTAACTAACTAACTAACTAACTAACTAACTAACTAACTAACTAACTAACTAACTAACTAACTAACTAACCAACTAAGTAACTAAGTAACTAACTAACTAACTAACTAACTAACTAACTAACTAACTAACTAACTAACTAACTAACTAACTAACTAACTAACTAACTAACTAACTAACTAACTAACTAACTAACCAACCAACCAACCAACCAACCAACCACCAACCAACCAACCAACTAACTAACTAACTAACTAACTAACTAACTAACTAACTAACTAACTAACTAACTAACTAACTAACTAACTAACTAACTAACTAACTAACTAACTAACTAACTAACTAACTAACTAACTAACTAACTAACTAACTAACATACTGAGTGACTGAATGACTAACTAACATGAGAGTAAAACTCCTATTACACGCCTGCAGTTGGATGTTTTACAAAGTTCCCTCACTCAGTTTGCTCGCGTTACTGTTAGCATGCTGATTGTTTGCTTTCACTCCGTGTCTGTGTCAACAATGACAAATACATGTTTGTTTACATTCAAAGAATACTTACCAGGACATTTTTATTACCAGGCTGCAAGCCAAAGTTTAACAACAAACATTGAATGGTTACTAAGTTACATATTTTTTAAATGTTCGGCAGCACTTCTGGAAGGCACTATGGGTGACACTTGTGTGTTACCTGTGACCATTGAAGAAGCAAATATTGTATATTCTCTGTTGCATAAGAAATAAGCAACCAGTCATGAAGGAGCCTAGACATCTCTTAGTGCGAGTCGCTTCAAGGCCTTTTTTTCACTGAATACACACACGAAGCCGAGGATAAGATGTACAAAGCAAGCCTAGCGTATCCCGTGGCTCCATTGTGCCTTTACCTTTCAAAACTAGTTGAGGTTATCAACAACCCTCATCTTGGTCCAGATTACAAGGCTTCTTAAACATCTTGGTTTTCTAACCACTTTGCTATCTTGCTTTGGTAGAAATGTCTGGTTTATATACAGGCTGTACCGAATAGTGATTTTCACTATTCGGCCGAATACAAATAGCGGGACCAGCTATTCGGCCGAATACGAAAACGAATACGAAAACGAATAGTGTATTATCCTCACCAGGTGCTTTGCCGACTGGCCTGGGCGATTATGCCTCGCCACAATCTGCGATCTCCTGCAGCATGTATTAGTTCGTGTGCTGACACACCTCCATGCAATGCAACAAGACTGTCAAGAATCTTCTCTCTTTGTCTTCCTCTATCCCTCCTTCTTCAGATCTTTCCAGTGGTCACCACATGTTCCATTCTCCCTCTTCTCATAACATGGCCGAAAAATGATGACTGTCTCCTTCTGATGTCTGTGATAAGTTGTCTTCGAGCTCCCGCCTCTTTCAAAACCTCTTGGCTGCTCTTTTTGGTTGTCCAAGATATTTTGAGCATTGTTCTGTAAAACCAAATCTCTGAGGCCTCCAGAAATTGTTTGGCCTGCCTACCGATTGTCCAGGATTCACAGCCATATGCTAAAACTGAATGTATGTGGCAAGTAAGAATTCTTTTTGTAACCTTTATTGACAAAGACATATTGCATAAGATGTTTTTCATTTTATAAAATGCAGTTTTTGCCTGTCCAATTCCGTTTCTTTTTTCAGTAATGCATCTTCCATCTGATGTTATCCATGTCCCCAGATACTTAAATTTCTGTACTTGTCCCAAAAAAAAAACACCATCGACTTTATTACACAATAATAATTCGTTTCTTTGATACCACAATTACTTTTGTCTTCCCACTATTTAAACTGAGGCCCATTCTTCCACTTTTGAATAGTGTATAGTGTATAAAATAGATCTGAAAAAAAAAAAAAAAAAAACATTCATAATGTCAAATTTGCGCTAAAATTTTACTTTACAAAATGTGGTACAGCATAGCAAACATTTAAGAAGATTTTTTTTTTGCATTCTTCAGTCAGTCAGTCTGTGGTAGCTAATACCTAGGAATGAAAGTATTCTTAGTTTTATAACATGTAACTTAACTCGTAAATTGTCACTGACAGCTTAGTTAATGCATGAAAGGGGCATTAGCTTAAAAAAAAAAAAAAAAACAGTCGTTCCATGTTGTCAGCATTAAGGCAGCTTCTCGTCTCACTGCAGGTATTTCCAGATGTTCTAAACAGACGTTCACTTGGGACGCTCGTAGGTGGTGCACAAAGATAACGCTTGACAGTATGAACCGAGGTGGAAAATCTTGACATGTTTATTTTCCTTCCACCAGTCCAGAAGCGGGTGTAAGTTAGTCACTTTTCGTAGCCGGCCCGACATCAAGTATTTGGCCGAATACCGAATAGTTATTTGGTGCACTATACGGCCCCGAAGCGAATACGAAGCGAATATTCGGTACAGCCCTAGTTTATATAGACACATAATTATTATAATGATAATATATAATCAGTAGTATGATTTTTTCAATTAAAAAAATGACTAATAAAGCCCAGTAATTTATTAACTAGTTCCAGAATAAAAAGAGTTCAATGGTATGATATAAACACTGTTGTGGAGATTGGTTAAAGAACTATTCATGTTCTAGAGAGGGGGAGAGAGAGAGAGAGAGAGAGAGAGAGAGAGAGAGAGAGAGAGAGAGAGAGAGAGAGAGAGAGGGGGGGGAAGAGAGAGAAAGAGAGAGAAAATGAAGATGTGAGGACAAGGATATGGACTGTACGACAGCTTTCGTAAAGGCTACTGGCCTCCTGATAAACGTTTTCCGACAGAAGGATCAAAGAAGAAGACTTAGATCTCACTTCCTACATGGTAGATCGCAGCATTGCTATTGTTGGCTTCCCCTACTTTGAACTGTTCATGGACATTTATTTATTGTTTTTCTATGGTTGGTAATTTTGGGATTTGATTGTCTTGTTTGTACCGTATATTTACTAACGGTAGAATAATTAATTTTATTATTATTAAGTTCAGAAATAACTGATATTGTCGAGTTAAAACTTACCTGCGACAACGTACAGAGAAATATCCCAGACACACTAACTCGTGCATATTTTATAGGCGATTATCACTGCATCAGTGCATGCATGTCAGTGTGCATGTGTGTGTGTGTGCGCGCGCGTGCGTGTGTTGTATGACTGGATCAGCAACAGCTGGGCAGTTTTAGTAAAGAAAAAATCGTTAGTGAACATATTAACCGAAGGCTTGGTTTACATGTGAATAAACCGTTAATGAACATATCAACCGAGGGCTTGGATTACATGTGAATAAACCTTTAATAAACATATCAACCGAGGACTTGGATTACATGAGAATAAACCGTTAATGAACATATCAACCAAGGGCTTGGTTTACATGTGAATAAACCGTTAATGAACATATCAACCAAGGGCTTGGTTTACATGAGAATAAACCGTTAATAAACATATCAACCTAGGACTTGGTTTACACTGCACCGCTTAATTTTTAGTCAATTGTTCTTTGGTTACAGCCATGGCTTTAAGCAGTGTGCTCTGCTTTTCAACTGTTCATCTCTTTCCCCAGTTGCTTCAGAGAAGTATTTGGGTTTCGAGGGGGTGGGGGTGGGAGGGGGAGTAAGAAACTCATGCGTGCTTTTTGTAATGTGTTGTATATGAGGAGCGGTTAGTCAAAAGAGAAAGAAAGCAGAAAAACTCGAAGAGAAATAAATATTAGAAGTATATAGTTTCTTGCTGAACTGCACAACAGGATAGGTAGAGGGAAGACAAGAGTTCTTCAAGAAATAATGAAATGAACTTCAAAGCTTAACGAGATAGAAAAGCAGAACAACGTGAACAAAACAACACAAATCGACGTTTCGGTTAATTTTTGTTGTTTTGTACACGTCCTTCTGCTTCCCCATCTTGTTAAGGTTTGGAAGATAACAGGACAATATAAAAATCGAAGGCTAATAGTTACCGTGCCGGGAGTCGAATCTGTCATCGCCAGACGGCGTGTGCGCCTCGCTATGGAAACAAGTGTACTAAGAACATAGTCAACCAGGCATCCTATAAAAAGGTGTCTTATTATCCACGTATATCGTACAGATTGAAATCCATAACAATGGAAAACGGACATAATTCACTTCAAACCATTGAAATGGCACCACAGGTTACATAAATCTATATTAACGAAGCATAGGTCGAATAATCAGGACAGCGACAATGTGAATAAGGTACATACACAGAGACCTACCAATCCGATACTTTTTTTAAATGTTTGCCTACTCTAGACAAAGCATTCAGGTCTACTGTGAGATTTGATATTTTAGAACCATGCACAATTAAAATACATAATTACAGCAACTTTACGATGTAAGATCAGCGTGGCTAGGTAAAACTGATTCACTCAGTCAGGCACATGTAAACAGAGAAAAAATGTTCAAATCCTGGTGTGATAACAGCTATAATTTGTAACATTTCATAGCTGTCATTTAACCAGTTATGAAAATGAACATAACCATGAAAAAAAAGCCACCATGTCTGTCTGTCTGTCTGTCTGTCTGTCTGTCTGTCAGTCTGTCTGTCAGTCTGTCAGTCTGTCAGTCTGTCAGTCTGTCAGTCTGTCAGTCTGTCAGTCTGTCAGTCTGTCAGTCTGTCAGTCTGTCTGTCTGTCAGTCTGTCTGTCAGTCTGTCTGTCTGTCTGTCTGTCTGCCTGTCTGTCTGCCTGTCTGTCTGCCTGTCTGTCTGCCTGTCTGTCTGTCTGTCTGTCTGTCTGTCTGTCTGTCTGTCTGTCTGTCTGTCTGTCTGTCTGTCTGTCTGTCTGTCTGTCTGTCTGTCTGTCTGTCTGTCTGTCTGTCTGTCTGTCTGTCTGTCTGTCTGTCTGTCTGAACAAAATAACACCAGCCCACACTCATTAGTTAATTATTGTTAGATATTTATTATAGGTAAAATTTTTGACACAAAAATTTAGGAAAAAAAAAACATTAAAAAAAAAGGTTCATCGAATGTGAGGTTTTTTTTCTTGGCTGTGCCTAAATCAGCTGGGCCTTATTACACCCGTGGAACCCCTGAGCCATTGAATTCCCTGATCATGCGGGACGTCCTCGCTGGTATAGTGGTATAAAACAGAGCACCTTAACATACACACACATACACAAACAAACACACATATCATCCATGACGCCCCCCCCCCCCAAAAAAAAAAAAAGAAATTGTATCTGTATAATTACATTATGCTTTGGTTATATAGTATGTGGGAATCGTTTACATGAAAACAACGTGTTGAAGTTTGGTGCTCTCACTGTGGCACTTTTGTCAACGTCACTTTCTGTCTACGACCCTCACGGCGTATGCCTGTGGGATTACGACAGCACTAGTCTTGTACGCTAGTGGAGGCACTCCGTATGGATTTGGCGGAAGGAACTGGAATCTCTGGAACATGTTGGAGAGAAACAGGAACAGTTCCATCTTGGCCAAACTCTCGCCCAGACAAGCGCGACGTCCAATACTGAATGGGATAAACTGTTCAGGGTTCTTCAACTTGCCGTCGTTGTCAATGAATCGTTCAGGTCTGAAACTCATGGCGTCCTCTCCCCAAGTGGCCTTTTCGTGGAGGACAGAGTCTAGGTTGGGTATGATCCAGGTTCCCTTAGGCAGGGTGTAATCTTTAAGAGTAACCTCCTCAGAACACATGTGGGTCAGAGACAATGGGACAATACTGGCTAAGCGTTGTGTTTCCATAATAACGGCGTTAAGGTAGTTAAGCTGGGTCTTGTCCTGTATGGTGGGGACCCGATCTGTTCCTACCTTATATTTAATCTCATCAGAAACCTTTTCCTGCACTTCCGGGTAATTTAACATGTACAACAGACACCAATAGATGGTGGTGCTAGTGGTTTCAGTTCCAGCCCCGAACAAATCAAACATGATCTTTAGAAGATTCTGATCATCAAGAGTCGTAGATAAGCCGGCTTGTATTTTCTTGTTCCTTTCAATCAAGTATGCATCAATCAAGTTGCAAACATCGTTGGAGTCATTGACGTTTCGTTTCTTCTCCTTGAGAACGCTGTTAAGCATATCAATTATTGCAATACAACTTCTAGATATTTTCTTGGCTTTAAAAAAATCTCCAGGCAGCTTTTCTAGCCAAGGGAGAAAGTTGATTGCGCTGACCATTTCTTGTTCTTCCACTAACGTGCCAAGTTTATGGATTAAATCCTGAAACTTTGTGTCATCATAATCAAACCTTTGACCCAGCAGGAGGGAACAGATAATGTTGGAGGTACTGATGTTGGTTATTATGCGGATATCTGTTGGTTTTCCCTTGAGATCGGCCAAAGCGTCCATGTAACAGCCGACTTCTTCTTGTATCTTCTCTGCCAAAATATTCTTCCCCATCCCAAAAGCTCTGAGGATGGACAGACTGACGGATCGTTGCTCCTTCCATAGGGTGCCGTTAGAAAAAATGACCCCTTTGCCACCTAAAGTAGTAGCCTGTGGACAAAAACATCAGTTAAACGCATTAACACAATTTATAGCCAGTAAAAACATTTTAAAAACAATTTGGTAAGTTCAATAGGTCTACGCGATTATGTTTGGCTATATTATTTAACCACACGTCACGTGGTATTCACGTGACGTGTTCTCAAACAATCACACAAACAACTTTTTATAAGCTGGCTAAAAATGTTGGTTTCATGTACCGTGCGTCTTTCTTCAAATACTGGGCCCTGACACACTGATGCGCTGAGGAACGGGGGCTGCCACAATTTCTTTGGTCTAATCATGTAAAAGGACAGGGTAGGTAATTGTGTATTTTTTTTTCTTGTCTGGACTGCAGTCTGTGTTCAAGAGAATCAAACAGGTACAAATTCCAGAACTTTTTCAGACAGATAAAACTGTTTATCTACAGCCGCCTCCTGCAGTCAAGTCCGAGATGGGGATAAAGACTGTAACTCATGAAGCGACTTTATGGTAAAATTGAAAGTCAGGGAGGTCAAATGAATGTAATGACGATTCGTGACCAATCGCTGCTTCGAGCTTCTCATGTAATTGCTCTACAAACAATTAAAGTGAACAAAAGCGTACACTACTGGTGAAATATAGCCTTTCGTCAGAAATATCATGCGAGAAATCAATTGTAGGGTATTGGCACCGATACTAAAAACTTAAGTTTTAGATGAGATATAGAAATCAAGATCGTACATCCAACCGGATGAATGGACTGACGTGTCTGTCTTTGCTTCATTGGGTATGGTAAAAATAAAGACTTGGACGAAGAACTTTGTTGCCTTGACTTACCTTGACTTCAGAGATTATTATTACTATTGGCGGATTTTAGCTTAGACTGGAGCACATGCCTGAGGGGTAATTTTAAGTTTCACAGCCCCTAAAAAAGAGTGACTTCCCTTGCCACTCGCAGGACCTCTCCTATGTTGCGTGGGTGCTATATTATGGCTTGGTATGGCGTTTGCTTGATGCAGATAATCTGTGTCGGAGGTTGCGTTGTCGTGAGTCTATTTCAGTCGCATCAGGCGCCAGTGTACACGCAAGAAGCAATGCAGGGTAAAGCGTCGCAGGCGCGACAATTTTTGACTATTGAATTGGGATGTTTTTAATTTTTTAACTTTTCTCTGTTCGTCGGACTCGGCTTCCGCGCGAGAGAAAGAAAGCACTTACAAGCAACGTAGGAATATAAACATATCTCTGTTTCCATAGTCCCGAACCGTCACAAGGTAACAGAACGTGAAAATAATGACGAGCGGTGAGAAGACGAGAAAAGAGGGAACGGTTAAAGCGTTGGCATTAAGGAAAACATGAAACCCCAACACATAGGAGAGTTCCTGCGATCGATGAGGCAAGAATGGCAAGAGAAGTCACTCTCTTTCTGGGTCGGCAAACGTAAAATGGACATGCGTCAGAGCGTGCACGGGTGCTTTAAACATGATAATAAGTCGATTTGGAGTAATTGAAGAAAAAAAAAAAGGGAAACAAGAAGTCGAGCACTGAAAAAGGTTTGTTTACTGAGTGTATGCTCCATGGAGAGTGTCTCGCTGTAGAGAAGCTGCCTACCCAACTAAATAGTGTAACGAATAACGCCGCGTAGATCATAAGTGAAATTCGCAGTCAAGATTTGAACTCCGGGCTGCTCACCACGCCGTGCAAGAGTATGGATTCACATCACCAAGATTATCTCCAAATACAGACTTGAGGAGGTTATTTGTACATCTTTTTTTAACTGTGGGATGACAAAGCAAAATCTCACCTAGAGAGACTTTATTGGATTACTAAACGGGCCTTTATGGCTGGCATATTAAGTTCCCTTTATAAACCTAATATTTATCTTCAGCCGCACAATTACGGATATGTTTACGTTTAGAAAAAAAAAATGTATTTTTCAAAACGAATTTGCTCTTTGGGGAGAGTGAAGTGCAGGCGCAGGATATAGGAATCGTTTCACTTTTGAGAGAATTGCCTTTTGTTTCCGTTATTTTAAACAGGAACGTGATATTCAGCACAACGTCTGCATTTGAGGGCGATAGCTGAAAACTTTGAAAATTATTTCCCTGAACATGAGGATCATGCTAAAGTGAAGTTTTGGGTTAACAGTCCCTTTTTGGAAGATATAAGATCATACGCAGTTGTTCATCTTTGAAAAAATTACAAAAAAATAATGACCGAGTTATCGTGTGAGATCCAGACACTAAAAAATTTTACTTGTCTGTGTTTTGCATATCTGCTTCTACTTTCTGTGTGTGCAAAAAAAGACTCTTTGAGCCATTTCAGTTGTAATTACCAAACAAAGAAAACAAAATGTCACGTTAGCTGAAAATGGCACGAAGGGGTGTCAGCACAGGAACTGAGACATGCTGTTGATGATCGTATATTGTGGACAGACATAATTGGCCACGCCAGTCGGCAAGACACTTAAAGATGATGATGATAGTGATGATGATGATGATGAAAATGATGATGATATAAAAGTAAATCCCTTAAGACATTATCTATGGAGAAAAAAAAAATTAAGCTATCAGTCGGGGTCCCGACTGCATTTCAAATGGGTCACCACATTTTTGTTGATATCCTGTGCCGGGGAAAAATCACACTTGCATATCCTTTTTCCATGGGAAATGTCAGAGAGCAGTTCCGGCAAAAACGCACAGCTCGCAAACGCAGCAAAAATCAGATGCATAAGACAACCGCCAGAGGTGTTAACTCCAACAGTATATCACAGAAATTGCTATTCATAGTAAAGGAAGCAGCAGTAATGACAAACTATCAGGTGCACATGCATTACTTTCTAAGGCACTTCTATGGCAACCAGACTTTCTTCATTTTCTAAATATGCAGTCGACAACATACATCTCCGGGAGCACAGACACGCAGCTTTTCTGATGGAATTCGCAGCTCAGTATAGCACCATGCACTAAACCCAGTAGCTTTTTGACAGAACCATATTTTACATTTAGATCTTTTGTTGTCCCATCTCACTGCAATGACTCTCTGTTCTTTCTTCTTTCTGGCTCTAGTCACTGCAGATTTCTATTTCACACACCGACACCAACATGACGAGCAGAAAAATGGACGACAGGAAACAACACAAGACTACTTCTGCATTTTATTCTTCGACTCGCCTTTGCTCAGCCGGAACATGAAACAGACTAATGTCCAGGGCATACATTGTAACTCAAAACTATCATATTGATCACTTTACCTTTTAATCGAAATTACAATCGTCCTAACTCAATCACAATGAACGAAACAAATGCTGTTCTGAAGGTGACTAACGCGGCTGGCAGACATCTTTCCGTCTGTGCTTGCTGTTGGCCAGGTTGGGCATTGAAGCTACAATTATACTCAGACACATTTAACCGTTGTTCACGCACTCCGATCCTTGGCCCAAACGAGACTGCCGACCAGCTCTTTCTAAGGCATTATGTAACCTTCTAATGCCCTCCTTGTGATCACGATTTCTCCGTGTTCTCAGATTTACACGGATTCCATTTGGCCAGCATTTTCTCTGTGATCCGCGTGAGTTTCATTTGGCCAGCTATTCTTCGTGATTCACCTGAAGTTCATTTGGTCAGCATTTCTCTGTAATTCACGTGCTGTCCTAGTTAGACTCAAATATTCCATTCACATTTATTAGCTGACGTCACTAAGTCTGGGACATAATTTTTCGAGGAGAAAATAGCTTCACTACACTTACACTAGACTTCCACTGCTCTTCCAGTCGGCTTTCACTGCTCTTCCACTGAGCTTTTACTGCTCTTCCACTGAGCTCTTCTTGCTCTTCCAATCGGCTTTCATTGCTCTTCCACAGAGCTTTTACTGCTCTTCCACTGAGCATTTACTGCTCTTCCACAGAACTTTCACTGCTCTTCCACTGGGCTTTCACTGCTCTTCCACTGGGCTTTTACTGCTCTTCCACAGAACTTTCACTGCTCTTCCACTGGGCTTTCACTGGTCTTATGATGCTCCAATGAGATTTCAATGTACTTTCACTTTCCACTTTAGGTGGATTTGCAAAATACTGCCAAGCTTTCATATAATAGTACGATATCGTGACAAATTATCATTAATGCAATTAATAAAGACAATAAAATATAGTAAATACTGAGCCTGAGGAACTAAGACTGCAACAGGAGTACGAGAGGAGCAGTAAAAATATCATCAATAATGTTAATAAAATAATAATGATAACAATAACAACAGAAAAAGAGAAGGGGAAAGAAAAAAAAAAGAAAAAGAAAAAAAAAAAAAGCAGAAGAAGAGGTAAAAGAAGATGTCTATATAAATAATCAACAGAGCTACCGAATCTGGACGGTTATCTTTGGAAGAACATGGTAAATCTGTATCTACAGACTCAAAACGTTTGTGGAGTCTTAGAAAAGGGCACCACGTTGCAATGGACTCAGTACCTAATGATAAGAATATTAAACATACAACATCCACTTACTGTATCCACGAAAAATTGTGGCCTGCCTGAGAAGGCGTCGGCTTTTTTGACCAAGGCTTCTTTAATCAGGTCGTAACCGTTGAGAACCACAACCAGATATTGGCCCATGTACAGGCTGTAGATGTTTCGTCACATGTATTTCATAAAAGTGTTTAGTTTTTTACTAACTGATTTATTGTACTACATCGGCAGTTTCGAATATTTACATTACAATAAACACACACACACACACACACACACACACACACACCCTACCCCCCCTCCCCCCCACACACCCTCCCCCCCCCACACACACACATATATATGAAGTGAAGAACCATTTTACCCGCCTTCTGGCATATCTGCCACATGGTGCTGCTCGGATGTTTTAAAGACCAAACGGTTTTCGGTGGGTGACGGGGTCAGCATCACGCCTGCCGCATTTCCCTCCCAGGACTTTTCCTGGTACTTATCTAAAGTTGGGTCAACATGGGAGCCAATGCCCATTTTGAAAACAAGTCCAGATCTGATCTGATTCGAACCCACGACTGCACATCCGTGGGTGAGCATCTATCCCCAACACCACAGCGGCTCTAATATAATATAATGTAATACAATATATCATAATCTATAATATAGAACCGAAAATCCATGTGTCTGTGTGTCTGATTGTACATGTCAGTCTGTGAAGACCTCCTCCCAGAGAGTGACAAGTAGACAGGCTACATTTTTCAGATGCTACTTTGAAGCAATATCGGGTTTCATATTGCCATATGCAGTAAAGGGGAGCCGTCATTGTACAACGGCTAAACACTAGCCTGCGAATCTGAAGATCGTAGGTTTCAGTCCTGATATAGTCTGAAGTTTAATTTTAAAAACAAGAAAGAAAAACTTGGTTCTAAACTGACATGGGTATCAGGTACAGTTCGGGGAAGTAAAGGCGGCCAGCTTGATGTTGACTACATCAGCCACCAAGTACCGATTGGTCTACACAAAAACAGATCTAGCCTTATACAAATGAATGCTTGGAAAGGGGTCCTTTACTTAACTTTTATATTTGCAGGTAACGTTTCTATGCATTTCTTTTAATTAACGCCACAGTCATTAAATGTTAACTTGCGCTTGAGCTATATCCCTTGAGTATATATAAATTATCTTAAGTCAGTTGTGTAAAATAAGTTTTAAAAACCAATATATTGTTGTTGTTTCACTTTTTACTTGAAGTTTGTAGTTGCCTTTCGACAATAATATAATATAATATAATATAATATAATATAATATAATATAATATAATATAATACAATATAATATAATATAATATAATATAATATAATATAATATAATATAATATAATATAATATAATATAATATAATATAATATAATATAATATAATATAATATAATATAATATAATATAATATAATATAATATAATAATATAATATAATATAATATAATATAATATAATATAATATAATATAATATAATATAATATAATATAATATAATATAATATAATATAATATAATATAATATAATATAATATAATATAATATAATATAATATAATATAATATTATGATGACGGTGATGATATCAATATACAGTCGTGTGCTAGAAGTGCTTCCCATTACCATGCAATAATTCTCAGAAATATATTTAGAAGTTTCATAAATTTTCCAGCGTTGCGATGCCAAGATAGATTTGACTACACAAAGAACAGTGATAGACAGGCTTTTATGTAATCCATAAGGATTGACCTTCCATTGAAGTCTGAGTTTGTATACCTGAGAAGGAACAGACTGCAAAGAAAGCCATATCCGCAGAGGGGATTTGCACGCAAAACTCATGCCCTTGAACAAAACCAAAGTCCAGAAGAGGACGAACAACCAGGTTTTACAGCCCCTGAATGCAAAGAGGAAATACAATACATAAGCAATGAACAAGATGTTTCACTATTACACATAGTATACATATCTGCAAAATGATTCCATGATTCCTCACCTATAAATATCTCCACATTGTTTCCTCCATTCCCGAAACTGTGGTCTAGTGTCGCGAGCCATGGAGAAGAGATGACCAACCACCGGCAAAGGTCGTACAGGGCTGGGCGGAAGTCGTGGATCTGGACGTTGCAGCCACAGGTAGATGACCAGAAACACCAACAAAGCTACTATCCAAGTGGTCAACTCCATGATGTTTTACTTTCTGGAAATTGTGTACAAATGAAGGAACTGCTTTCTCTGTGTTTTTCAAACGAGAGGCAACATATGCAATCATGGGACTGAGTTACAATTCTAATTCCATTCTAAAAAATAATGAGCTGATGTTGCAGATGGGCAGTTCAGTACTAAGACTCAAAACTAGTCAAAGAATAGTTTTTTCCCCCCTAATGCCTGGTTGATTAGCATCAACGTTTTGACGAGAATTAAAAGACAGAAACGAATATTTCTTCCAAAATATGTGAGTCTATACATCAACGGGTTTCGCCAATTGCTTCTCTCTCTCTTTCTCTCTCTGTCTGTCTGTTTGTCTGTCTCTCTCTCTATCTCACTCTAGCTTGCCCTCTCTCTCTCTCTGTGTGTGTGTGTATATATAAATATATATATATATATATATATATATATATATATATATATATATATAAAGATTTTCTTAGGTCTGTCTCTCTGATTATCTCCCATTTTGTCATCTGTCACCAGCAGTCTTCATCACAATAACAATAGGCAATAGTTTTCCCCCGTGTGGGTTCCGGGGCCCCATTGTGGAGAAAACAAGAATAGACCCACTGCCTACCCAAAAGCATGGCGTAAGAGTCGACTAATTGGGGAGTTTCCTTTGAAGTCGGAGTGAATCTGCCGGAGAGGCAAGGAACCAACAGTCGGTATTCAAGAGAATGAGATCTGTAAAACTGATGCACACGCAACACTCAGGTTCTGGAGCAGGACTGCAGTTCAGTAGTGGACGAGCAACCAGAACTTTACACCAGAGTGTACAGCTTGTGAACACGAAGAAGAAGAAGTTTGGGAATTTAACCAACATTACATCTCTATGACTGTTTTAACTTTTATTTAATTACTCTTTGACGCCTTTAAAAACATAAATTGTAATTAATAGGGCTGGAGATGATGAGCAAAGAAATCAGGTTTGTGTGCGAACAGTTTCGTTCAGCGGAGTTGGCGGAAAACACACACACATGCTCACACACACACACACACACACACACACAGAGAGAGAGAGAGAGAGAGAGAGAGAGAGAGAGAGAGAGAGAGAGAGAGATGAATGCTTTAACCTAAACAAGCCAAGAAATCAAAATAGAGTTAACACTAACTTTTTCAGTCTCAGATAACAGAGTCGTATGAAGAATTATAGAATTATATAGCCGTTGTAAGTCCCACACAAAACACATAAAGAAGAATAAGAAGACGAAGAAAAAAGAGGAGGAGAAGGAGGAGAAAAAAAAATAAAGAAGAAGAGAAGAACAAACACAATGGAGAAACTTAAATAAACACAAATGTGTTAACAGGTTTACTTTCGAAAGGTGTCTGTGGCTTAAGTTGATTACTTATTACATTTATATATAATTTTATCTAAATTTTGTTTATTTTGCTTTAATTCATCAAGGTACATTTATGTGTTTGGTTATTACTATAGAACATATGTGGCCAGTGAAAGCTACCTACCTACAATATGTTCAGACAATTGGCTTTACTTGACGGTTTACGATTAGAGATTCTTTCCGCGTCTCTTTTTATACACTATCATACATATATGTACACGTGTGTGTGTGTGTGTGTGTGTGTGTGTGTGTGTGTGTGTGTGATTGGAAGTATGTGGGTTTGAACACTTGTTAACACTTAATAAGAGCAGTTAAATTTGGATTCTATGTTAGGATCACAGTAAACAGCGCAGACAATTCTGAAACAAGTTGTTTTCATTCACAGACACGAAATGGAATAATTAAAGGTTCTTAATAAGTACTTTTATTTAACTGTAACAATATTACGTTACAGTTATGGCTTATGGAACGTGACATCTTGATATAGTGAGCTCAGTATGAGGATACAGAGCACAGTCCCTGCTAGGCACTGCAATGAGAAATAAACGGACTGATCAAGGAAGACATCAAAGAGGAACACTGACGAACTCTGTTGTTGGACCGGACTGCATTTAGGCGATCCGCCGGACAGTGCAGGACACACAAACTTGAGTTTGCAAGGCTTGTCTGAAGTATAAACGGCGCAAGATGATGATGAATATGATCCCAATAAATACTGTAATTTGTGGAGGCACAATAACTGAAACTGTTGACGTCATCATCATCGTCGTCATCGTCATCACCACCATCATCATCATTATCATCACCATCATCATAACCATCGATTGACATGCACGTCTTAAACATTGGCAGTAGTGGAACTAAAGTAGATTATATAAAGCAATCAATATTCATGAACATAATACAAGACACTACCACTAACTTTAGTGAATTGTTATTTACACTTACAGAGTATAGAGTTCTAATGTAAAGGTGCAGGTGAAACTCAGCGCATGTAACCAAAACCTCTACCTCCAACCACGTCTCATACATCTACCAACACATATTCACTCAGATATTCTAATTATATGTGTATGTTTCTAGTATATCAGGCAATGTCATATATTGCTGGGATCCGAGCATGTACCATATGGTAGAAATTATCATTCCAAAACACATACTACACAACACAGATGAATGAATGAATGGATGAATGAATAAATAAATGAATGAATAAATGAATAAATGAATGAATGAATGAATGAATGAATGAATGAATGAATGAATGAATGAATGAATGAATGAATGAATTGATGTCACTGTACTCAGGATAATCCCACACGTGCTGCCCCCCATTCTTTAATCTCCAGCGAGGTGGTCGCATGCTTACAGTACCAGTTGCAACCTGTTGAAAAGGCTGCTTCTGTTTCCCCTTCAATGTTGAATATCTCCCAGAACCTCTGCTCATAACCCGTTGAATTAGTCTTTCAGTGCATGAATTGTACGGATTCCCATCTGTTCTTTTGCACTGTCCATTTGATCCCATAGAGGCTTCACTAAATCCGCTTTATCATAGATAGCTCACCGCTTAGAGGAGCGGCAGCAGCTAATCTATCCACCTCGTTACCTCACACACTGTAGTGAGTCATTTTCTCCTCATTAATTTATGCCCGATAGATGACGTCAGTAATAGATGTAAGACGAATGTTTTGACTGGTTGAGATAACACGAGATTTATGTCGAGTTTCATGAGAGACATCTGAAAGTCAGGTTTTATGTGAAACATGATTGTTCACAGGATCTGTGTGAAATGTGAATTATCACGGACCAGACACGACTTTCAACAGTGAGAAATTCGTGAGAATGAATCCAGAATATTCTAGAATAGGATAGATCAGAGGGCTATATAATAGCGAGGAAAAGGTTTGTGGGCAGTCTCGTTTTGGATCCAGGAACAGTGTGCATGGACAGCGGTGGATGATGTGTGAATTCAGCAGATGTTTTTGAGTGAATTTGTTCCAGTCCAACTTGGCGAAGAAAGCTGGCCAGTAATATGTCTGCCGGTCGTCTGAGTGTATCTGTCAGGACAGCTGTTGTGTTTCGTTTACGATGTTAGTGTAAATCGATTGGGATTTCTGCTTGAAGGTAATAATTGATTCTTGCATTATAATGTGTGCCTGGACAGTTGTCAAGTTCATGTGCCGGCTGTGTAAGCCGCGAGTGGAAGATTAAAGTACTGGAACAGTATCGTGTTGTTTCCCAGTCGTCCATTTTTTCTGCTCGTCGTGTGATGTCGGTTTTGTGAGTTGGCAGCGAGCGTGCGATGAGGCGAGCCAGTAGAAGATAAAAGAGAATCATCGCAAGATGGGGAACTCGTCCAAACATTTGAGGATAGGAAAGTTGTTTCCTACAGGAAAATCTGAGACATCGAAAGGTGTTTAGTTATCAACCTGACGTCAGGTAGTACCAGTTCAACATACGAACGTAAGCGGGGAAGATCGATGGCGAAATAACAACAACCCATATTCGATAGTTCACAGATTGAACAACGTTCGGACAAATTCCAGGCTTTGAATACTGATAGACAAGTCCACGTTTTAAGTTTCGACCAAGTAATCAACAATCAACTAAGATGCGAAGGAAAGATTGCAGACAGTGACGGTGTCAAAGAGCATTCATTGATTGTAGCGAAGGAATACAACCGTAAGTCTACACAGAGATGATGTGAGACTAGGGCTGCCCCTCTGCAAAACTTCCGAAGCCTTGTTGTTTGATCAAATTTTGCTGCCGACTAAAGTGTGGTAAAGTGTAGTGGGAAATCTACACTGAACAACACACAGAGAAGCGTCGACACCAGATCCTGTTTTTCGGATCTGTTTTTCAAAACATAGAAAGACAGTGAAACACCGGGTAGAGTGTTAACTGTACAGAAATCAAAAAGAACCACAGCTCTGACACTGGGTATTTGTGTCGCAGCTCTACATTTTCAGTCGTGGCAAACCAGTCAATAGGAAAACTGCAGTATGACAAGTCTACAAAACCTCAAGATCAGCACTCATTAATGTCTCGTGATCAATGATGCTTCAAGTACATCGTGTAATCGCACATATCACAAGAAAGCGATAACAATAAAGCTTTCCTACGTCCTAAACACATTCAGTCGACAGGAAAAGCATCAAATTGGTCGGTGCAAATCTAAGTATTGATTGAAGTGTGTAGCAGTAGCTAGCAGTGAACTATTTGTCTACAATTAACAATGTACTATTGAAGTGTGTAGCTAGCAATTGAACTACTCAATGATAAATATCCAGCTTATGAAACCGATAGTACAGTGAACAGTACCACAAACAGTATACAGTTTCTGTAATAAATACGTCACTGAACAATTCCTTAATTAGTGTGCATTCAATGCCGAAATTACTAGTGTGAGCAGATAAACTGTGCGGTCTTAATTAGTTTCAGTGCCCAGTTCATGAAATTATTACTATTGTGTTAATTTCAATTAACCATATCAAATTATCATTTCTTTAGTATTTAAAATTAGCAGTAGCATATTCAACAGACAAACTTCAACGAAACAACCTTCAAGAAAGCAACAGCCATCGCAGAATCAGCTTCAGGTCAACTTCAGGACAGTCAACTAGATCAGCACAACAA